CTCTCTCTCTCTCTCTCTCTCTCTCTCTCACACACACACACACACACACACCTGCACACAGTTCTATCTGTGTGTATCCATAAATATATACAGATTTCTTTGAATAAAATGTAGAAAAATTGCATATACAAAAATCTTCAACCCAAATTTCATGAAAAATGTTGTTAACAGGTGTGCTCAGTTTGGCAGAGTAAACATTGTGTGTATGTGGCCACATGTGGATTGAGCCATGCAAAGTTAAAACTTACAACGCAATACAGACTTTGTGTCCCGATTTCAACTCCGCTTTCAGAATTGATCTCTCAAATAAATTCTAATCGAAAATGAGAACTCACAATACACTATGATTTCTCGAACAATAAGAAGCACTAAATTTCCGTGTGTGGAACAGTACTGAGCAGATTCTAAATGGACCGATAATTGTCTTCAATACAAAGCCAAGGCTGTCATCACGGCACAGTTAGTTGAGGGGAATGTGGCTATTACGAGCACAAATCTCCAGCTAGTGATATTTTAACTGGTTATTATAGCTGCCCTTTTTTGTAGAATTTGCAACCCGTGTCTTCGATTGAGAGAAACAGCCTTTGCGAATCTAATTATAGGGTTTGGTAAAATCATAGAGGACAGCGAAAAAGCAGCTGAAGTCGATTCTATTTGACGTTTCAAGGTGAAAACTAAGCGTCTGATGTGGTTTTAATAGTGTATTTCATGTTAAGTTTATAATTAGTATTCAACGGAAGCTGGTGTGCCTGACCGCATGCACTCGCTCAAAGAACAAGTTTCATAAACAGCACGTCAATGATGTGCAAAGGATCAACTTGAATAAAGAAGACATTCAACTATTATTGCTTAGTTACTTGAGACGGCCTTAAACAAAGGTACAGCTTACCTCAAGCGTTGGTAATCATAATCGTGTGAAGGTTGTGTGTTGTGTGCGAGTCATTTGTTGCAGAAATAGGTTTAAAAAAAAGAGAAAGAAACAGTGTATGATTTTTACGTTTTCGCCTTTGGCCATGATATGATTGGAAACATTAGATGCCTAAATGGTTTCTCTGCTCCTCAAAGTGCATGACCCTTAAAACGATGATGCCCTCTGTGCATTTTTGTGGAAACCTCAGCCAGGGGAACACCACCTAAATTAAGAATTCCTCTATGTTTTTTTTTTTATGTGGCCTTCTATCAATATTTGCTGTGGAATGTATCTTTTTTACTGGCTAGCAGAGCGCCGTGAAACTTCAGCTTTTTATTCAGAGTTTGTGTAGCCTAATATGGGTAAGTGAACATCTACAGACTACAGTAGGCTATGTAAGGGATAAAGTTACTGAGCAACCGCCAGCTGGTACTGAAAAGAAAAAATGCCAGAACTCTCACTGCCAATACTCTTCCTGTATATCGCTAGTTTAATTTAAAAAAAATATATAGACACTTTATGACTTATTTCTGTGCACACCTCATGTAAAAAGTATGAATAGAAGAGTGGTCTATTTCCACGTTTGTAGAGAACTAGCCAACTGTCCGCTAGTTAGCTAGCTAAGTTAGTACTACGTTAGCACTCCACTGTTTGTTTTAGTCCTTACTGCAAAACCTCACCTAGTGAGTTCGCTACTTGCCATAAGTCAGTTTTGCTTATATGGAAACTAACCCGCTACAACGTTTGTAATAGAATCGATACACATAAAAATGGCCGCCGCTCTGAGCATCCTGCTACTTTGATTTGAATGGCAATGTCCGTTCTAGACCTATTCTACTTCTATAGATATAGTGCTCTAGTTTTTGGATTTAGGAGAGTTGATCATGTTAACTGATTATTTTTGGACTGTCTTAGACCATAGGAATAACATCTATGAATTATGAAAATGGGCCTAGTTCCTCTTTATGATTGTTCTTGAACTTTTTTGTACACTATGGGTGCTGAGAATGAAGCTAGAGGCAAAGGGAATTCATGAGTTTCTCAATATTGATCTCATATTTCATATTCAGACTGAGTAAGTGGAGAGTTCTAAGGCTGATATGATGCATTTGAAAACAAAAACAAAAAGCACGACATGCTCATATTAAAATGTGAATACTTCAGTGAATGTTGTCGATAAGCATTCAGACGTGCAACTCCCCGACCTGGAAGAGATTCAGCCCAGGTCAATAAACTTCTGCTCCCCTCTTTACATAGTTGCAAACTACAGAGCTTGTTCCAGTCCGACACATTGATGCAAAGAGTCAACTGAACTCCAAATAAAAACGATTGATGACTGCACAGAAGAACATAAATCCAGTATTCATAGTCATTTGGAGGTACATTAGGAATTATTCAAGATTGATAAATAGTGTTGGTTTTCAGGTTTAAAGAGAAATTAGAGTTATTAGTTGTCGTGTTTGGGTGCTTAGACAGTATTGAGTGCACATACAACATCGAAAACATCTCTGCAGGCGCAAATGAGGGGATCCAGCCGGCCTGTTATACCGTTATTACTGCCAGAATTTTGAAGCAGACTTGGGACCAGGAGGTCACACATTTTAATTAATGGAGTCCCTGGGGACATCGGGGCCAGGAAGATGAAATCTACGCTCTGCTTTCCTCCACCAGTTATGCAAGTTATTTTTGAAAGAAGCGCTTCACTCCCAGCGGCTCCGGCTACGTTGTCGCAGGTTAATATCAAGATATTCAGAAAATGTCAACTTTGCATTAAAAAATGTCATAATTGACCAAATGACAGTCATAAAGATTCATAAATACTCCTTCATGTTCTTGACTGTGTCATGTCATTCTTATGCAAAGTGTTACCAAATATGCTTGTATGTGTCCCCATAATTTATCATAATACTACGCTGGATTCACAAAATAACTGCTAAATTCGAGTTCTCAATGATTAGTGTAGAAGATTTAAAGTGTCAAAATTAAAACAAGTGTAACAAAGAAATGAAGTGAAATACTAATTGTATTACAATGTTTTATGCATTTCCTTTTTATGATTGCATCTACTGTGTCATGATTAAATGAAATCACATGGAATTTTTGTCTTTAATAACCCGAATGAATTATTTTTCATCATGACACGAATGTCGGGAACTGTTTTAGTTTCCGTGAGAAGTTTTCCTGTCGGAGACTGAGACGCACGGTCCATGCCGAATGGAAAAACAATCATCTGTCCACTATTATTGACGGTATATTCAGTTACATTAGGGATCGACTGTCTGACTCTTCAAGCAGGTGCACAAACAGACACAGAGGGATCCTCTTGGCACATGTCTCATCAATTGTTGACAGCTAATTAGTGTTAGTTAGCTTACAGTAAACACACAGTAAATGCGTGAATAAAAAGAAAATACATATCACAATGTATTGTATTTCCCTTTATTTCTTTTTGAAATTTGCTTTAATTTAGGCCCTTTAAATCTTCTTTGGATTAGATTGTTCAGACGAGGGATCATTTAACTGTCGTTAACCTTACATTTCTGCATCTAAATTTATTTTGTTGTTTTGTGGAGTATTTTTCTCTCTGATAACTGGCCACTGACAGCGCTTCCACCAAACATGTTTTCCAAGGGTGGATACTGCATTGATATTACACTTCACAGCAGACAGATAAAGTGTTACTGGTCCTGGATTCAACATCTAAGCCAACTAATGATTAAGAGACCCAGGTCGGCGACTCCACAGAATAACACTCCTACCTGGCGAGTTATTACAGCTGGAGGTTACCACTGCAGGGTTAACACGAAATAACCAACAGCTGCAGTCTGGGTCAATCCTTCATCGACACACTGGTTTGTGTGCTTGAAACAAACATTAAACACGGGATTAAAGATGAAGAAATGATTTAAATTGGAAACTGAGCCCTCAAATCGACTCCCCTAATCAAGTGGACACATTACATTCCTATAAATGAACACAATCAGTGCTCCGTGCTTGTAAGTGGACAACCATGAGAGTTCAAAAAAAAATTATGAATTCCAGCACTCACACTACAGTAATAAGACACAAATGCAGATAATGTGCTTGGATGTGTGTGTGTGTGTGTGTGTGCGTGTAATATCGTGCTTCCAGTGCTAAACAGACAAACTCATTGGTCTAAACTGCATATTAGTTGCTCAGGCACTTGTTTTAAGTCCTAAAAAAAACAGAATACGATTGATGGACAGGTCACATCATTTCATTCTGCTGATTATATCTCAGCATTACAGGACCCTTCATTTGCTACGTGTCTCTCAACTCCACAGTGCAGGCCACTTTGAGCCACCACTGGGAATTGAGCTGTATTGCTTTGATCTCAAAGATTGGATGTCATTTACTTTATGACAGATAAAAAAGGCTTTGTGCGCGCGTGTGGTTGAGTCGAGCGTCTCCGTGTCAGAAGCTGGACTCGGGAACCGTCCTTTTGCGTCCCAGCGAGGTCGTGCTGTAACGGGTCCTCTGCAGGGTGCCGTAGGACGGCTTGTCTGTCGTCAGGCTGCGTGACGGTGCCGGGGCTGCAGACGTCCCGTTGCGATGCAGAGACGCTGTCCTGCGCATGCTCTGCTCCGCTTTGGTGGGGATGTTGGAGGAGCTCTGGGAGCGCTTGATGTCCGCCGTGATTCGTCCCATCCTCCTGTTTGCCAGCTCATCGCCCAGATGGCCCGGGCCGATAGACTTGCCTCTTTCCACCCCAGTTCCCCCTCCCGCGGCTCCGTTGGACAACGACAGCCTTGATGGAGTCCTTCTGCCTCCTTCCTCACCTCCTCCTCTCCCTGACTCACCCTCCTTGGACTTCCTCGAGTCCTTATCCTTCTTCAGGAAGTTACCTTTAAAGAAGGAGAGCAGTCCTTCGTGGTTCTTGGGCGCTTCTCCTTTCTTGGTCTTAGAGTTTCCTTCATTTGCACCGTGGTGTTCCCTTTCAGCCCTGTCCTCTTTTTGTCTTCTCAGGGTCCCATCGTGAAGGCTAGGAGTGCTGTAGCTGGGCTGAACTCCAGCACTGGAACTCCTCTTTGTCTCAGTAGTGTCCTGGGAGGCTTTGGAGGAGCTTTGTCTCGTGGCATCCTTCCTCCTGGTCAGGGTGTTACTACCAGAGCTACTGCTCATCTCATCTCTTGTCTGGCTCTCTTTCCTGCATCTTAAGCTGGCTGTCTTATCTAATGCCTTCCTCTGGCCCTCCGGGACCTGCGGAGACTCAGGCGGCAGCTCCTCCCCTGCCTTATTGATACAACTTAAGCTCCCAACGCTGGCAGATCGGACATTGGTTGAAGCCCGGTCCTCGGGGGCTTCCTTTGTCCTGCGCGGTTTGCTCATCAATGACACTATTGGATCCTTTGTGCACCGGGGCCGCCGGCCGGATTCCAAGTACTCTACCAGCTCCACAGGGCCCGGATCTTGGACAGACGGGGGCTCTTGGTCAGGTTTCCGTCTGTCCTTTGAACCAAAGGACCAGCGCAGGGGAAACACTTTGCTCAGGTTGTCCTTGGTCTTGCTGGGGGCTCTCATGCTCACGCTGCGTCCCTGAAGACCCCTGATAAAGGGCCTGCTCTCAAAACCCCCTGACAATGATATAGAGAGGAAAATGTTTTAGCTTTTACACTTAAATGTGACACCTTTGCGCAGCATTAATCTTGAAATAAGCAACTAATGAGACACTAAACTGAGTGTGGCCCCTTACCTCTTTCCCGTTTAGAACCATTTTCAAGGAAGACCGGAGACTCAGGCGAGTCAGGTAAGGAAGATGGGCAGGTGGTGGAGGATCGAGAGACCAGGCTGCCTCTCTTGCTATCCCCTGTCAGTCGGATTAGCCAGTGGTCTGACATTGATGAACTTGTGGATCCTGTGAGACACATAGAGGGAAGAGAGGGATCAGAGAAGGAATACAAACCATAAAAGAGTACTCCACTAATGAGGCATTGAACTCTGAAAATGTTGGCGGACTCATTTTAAAACAAAGACCTTCAAACTAACTTTGATGTGTAACATCAATGGAGTTTGTCTTTCATCAAACAGTTCTTCAAAAAACTAAAAGTTCAGATGTAATCAAAGTTAAATGAAGTTTGTAAAAACACAGGTAAGATAGCTAATCCAGTTCCATTACACCGGCAGAAGCGGTGGAGTAGTTATTAAAATCCTTTACGTAAATAAATACACTAGGGGACATTTTTGTATCAAATACGTATCCACCATCACACTTCACAGCAGAATTGTGTTGCAATCATAGACTTTATGAGCATTCATGGTTCATTTTTTTTTTTGTGGTCATCGATTTACAAAGCAGTTTAGATTGTTGCTCGTCTGCGTCTACACTTTCCTACAGATTTTCAAATGACTTAAAAAAAAAAAAAATGTATTCTTGATTTGACCATCATAATGATAAACTGGAAAATAAAGAAGGCACCCAGGATAGATCTATAGAATGTTAACCCAAAGGTTATTGTAACTGTCCGATCACATTTTACTTGACTCACTCACGCACATAGATCAACCCTCATACTCACTCACCGATTGTAGATTGAACAGGTAGTTAGATCAGGAGTGATTCGCTTCAAAGTATTGATATCATTTAAATGGGTGAGTTGTACGTTTTGTGGAACCATTTAACCACTTGGTAGCAACCACCTTATCATGTACTCCAGCCCGTAACCTGGAAGGTGTTCCGATCCCTTCAATGCATCATCATCTCTCTCTCTCTCTTGAATAACATCCCCAACCAATTCTGTTAAGTTTTTTTTTCTCAACAAAGTTTTCCCACAATATTGTGGTTTAACAATGTCCTCTTTGCTTTCCAAGAACAGTTTAGATCAGGTAGGGAGAGTGGAAAATTCGAACCCCCCCGGCCCCGACTTTAGAGCATTTGAAACTTGAAGGAAATAAGCTTCAAATGTTTCACTGCCGCTGCGTGTCCAATTGTCAATTATTTATGTCTGTGAATTACTTCCTCAGGAAAAGAAGAATAAAGTACAATAGTGGAGGAAAATAATGCTAAATACAATACATGCCCCCTGAAACAAAGAGTTTTTCTATCATAGCTCTGTGAGCAGCAGATGTGTCGAGCACAAATGTTAACACAAACAATTTAACAGTTAAATGGTTATCACAGTATTTGCACACATTTTTTAGGGACAGCAACAGCTTTCCTTATTTTGAGGAAATATTCAAATAACAGAACCTGCCTATCTGAAAAGTGTATTGCTTGAGTAAGGGGGACAAAAAGCCATTTTAGAATGCGAGTCACACTTAGTTTAGCTACATGTACAAATTCAAAAATTATTGACTTAATAGGTTTTGATTTCACAAATCTTAAAGCAGCTTATTGTGCATGCATCGACATGGCTCTGTAGCACTCAGTGTCAAATAGCCAAATTTTAAAGTGCATACTATTTCAGACCATTTTCTATGTAATGTTTTGCTGTATGAAATATTTAAGTATATTATATAGCTATCCTTTTACAGAGAAATTCTGCATTCATCTTGAAGTCTAATCATTATTTTTCACATTATTTAAAGCTTCAATACACTTCACACATTTCGCCTTAAATATTTTACACCTACAGAGATACATGTATATACACATGGGTTTTACACAGCGGAAGTGGACACAGATGAAGATACACACTCTAGACTCTAGAGTGCTTGTCCTTTTGAAAGTGGACAAACTGAACAACGGAAAGTACATTATGTCGACAAAATGTGTGTAATGTCAAACAGCAGTAAAACATTATTACTGACATGTACTGTACAGTGGAAGGAAATGCATTGTTCATAAGGGTAAAGGTTACATATTTGTTGACATTTACGATCGTGTGCTGACTTACCATTGACATAAATATTCTGTAGTCTCCACACTACTCTACCTTAATATCCCTAATAAACTCCCACTGCTCTACTGAGTCCTTCCTGTCTGCCTTTTCATCTGGTAGTTGAGTAATTTCTGAATGCATTTATTTTACTGATGCACACGACTCAGTAAACGGTCATTGTAACAGTACCTGTTTTTCCGTTTGATTTTTCCTTTATTATTTTCTTTTACATTTGTTCTGCATATGTCATTGATGCTGACAGACCCAATACTAGGCACCTTTAATATTTGATGGAAAGAGTGCAGCATGCAGACTTAATCACGTCCGGGTATGGAAACATGGCATGGAATAAAAAGTGTCACATTTCAAAACATAAATCATATGAGCAAGAACTCAGCATTGTGTGTGGAGCTGTGTTACATTCTTCAGACTTGTAGCCGTCTTTGTGATTCAAGAGAAGGATAATACAATGAGGGTTGTAATTGTGAATCCACCAGTTAACACATTTTCTCTCCTCACTGTGCAGTCAAGCATGTGTTTAACATTGCTGGGACATGATTTACATACTTTGTAGGTTTTTTTTTAGTTTATTGTGTGCCGCTGATTAAGTGCTTTTATTGAAGCCAAAAATCTTTGCCGCCAATGACAAAATCGTGTGGGGGCAAAAAGACCCCTCTGTGGAGTAGGCACCTATGGACCTTTGTACAACTGACATGATTAAGTCAAACACGAATTACCTCGGAGTAGTGGGCTAAAGTTACACATCGGAAATGTCATCTTGCTTGTTGTTGGGTGTCAGAATCGATATTGCATACATTTGAGATGATAAACTGTGATTCTAGGCTCTAGAGAGCTACAATATCGGCAAATCGTTTCAGATATGGAAAGAAAATGGTAAAGTGCTAATGCTAACAGTAAGCTTAGCCTTCTGCTAACCTGCTCAGTTGTCATGGCTGTTGCTTCACTAAGAGAGAGATGGAAAGAAATGTTGCTAAAAGGCTGAACTATTCGAGAGATAATGAGATGGTCCGCTGTTGGGCTTGTTTTCTGTCACCATTGTTGCATGGAAGCATGGTGGAATTAGCAAGCTAACTAGCTAGCTTGCTGATTCCGCCATGCTTTCATGCTACACTGGTCACAGAAAATGATCTGAACAAAGATGTCATTCATCTGGGGACATCAACGTGCTTTCCTACGCTGTGGCAACAGTGTGTGGATGAATCATTAAGTTGTTTAATTGTACCGATTGAGCGGCTGGCTAGTTAGCGAGCTACTTTTCTAACTCTGCCATGCTTTCATGCTTATGCTACAGAAAATGAGCCTAACAGTGGGCTGGTGGCCGGCAGCGAGGGGCAGCTTAGATTATACAATTAAAACTAGCGATTGGCAAGCTTCTGTAGAAAGCAACAAGCATTGGGGAATTTTAGAACAGTGGAAACCCTAATGATGTTTTGTTTCATTTTGTCTCTGATAAGTTCAAATGTGTTTTACAATGGTCAGCAAGGTAAAATGGCTGTTTCTGTCAAGTCCGGGGGCTATGAGGAGAGCATACCTAAATTATGATAATTGTCCAAATTATGGCCTGTCCATTTTCCATTTCGGACAAGTAAATATGGCTGCTGGGCAAGCAAAACATTTTGGCTACTTGCCCGAAAGGGAAAAAGCTTAATGTCAAGCCCTGATTGTGGATTCCAAGAGTGAGTGTCTGCCTCTTTCACAGAACTCCCTGAACTAGGTAATTGCAAATTCAGTTTGTGTTGAAACCAGAATGCTGTGACTGAACCAGTACCATGGCAACTCACAAAGGAGGAAAGTCAGTCATTGCAAAGACGGCACTGACTGTTCACAATGAGATATGTCCAGTGCTGTATCTATAATCTAGGGAGCTGGCAAAGAAATGGTTTGTCGGCATCTATTATTTCCCTTTGCATAGAACAAAAAAAGTTATATTTTAATGATGGATGGTTCTTTTTATTTTTTACTCTGAATAATTGTATCTGTGAAATATGACAACAGTTCAGTCAGACAATTTGTGTTTGAAATGTTTAATAAAATGCAGTATATAGTTTAAGCTTGGCCATTCCACATGAGCTCCTCGACTATGAGGTGATTATACGATGTAGTGAAGTGGTTAGCAAACTCAGGCACGCATACCGCCATTGGCACGACGTTATTGATGATGAATAAGATTGGTGGAAGGTTGGTAGGGTTAATGATTTCAACTCAGCTGTGGATGATTCCAGAAGGTTAATATATAATTACAATATTCTGATTATGGAAGACAAATGTTTTTTGATGCAGGAATATCATCATGAAAAGAGAAAGCCCAAAAAGTCTCAGCAGTAATAATTTTGGGACCTTGGCAAGATATATTTTTTAGTGTTTCAGGGATATTGAGTTTTTGTGTTTTTCTAAGGTTAAATCAGAGAAAATGAGATCACGCTGAGGATCAAAGGAGCAGTATCTGATTGTATATTCACCGCACCTTAGAAGGCCATTAGTAGAGCTGCTTCAAACATTAGAGCAATTGTTTTGTGAAAAACAACCTTGCCTTTACCATGACACCAACTTGTGCACCAGTGACAAAGTGGGAGGCAGTCTTTTATCATCTCATAGATGCAACTTTTTAAGGAGCAGCTAAATGAAAGGATTCCCAAGATGGCTCTGAGATGCTTGACAGTGAATGTGGTACTCCCTGCTAGAATGGCTTTGATCATTTGCATTTGAAGATTGTGGGATTAAAATGAAAATACAAGAAATGCACAAACTACAGAGACATCTACTGGCAATGGACTAAAGAGGAGGTTGGCGCAAAAGGAAGAGAAGACATACCAGGACTATACATATTTAAATTGTGCTTTCGGCTAAACCAAAAGTGGAGTGCAAAAGATCCTGCAGGGGCTTGGACGAGCTAAATCGAGAGTCATCTGATTGAATGGAAGGCATGGCATGCTGCAGGGTTTGGCCTGAGGATGAATATTTTTGAACTTCTGATATTTAAAGCGAGAGAGAGCCTCAGTTACACACATTTCATGACCAGGAATGAAAGTAGTTTGGATAATGAAGTTATTTGGAAAGCATGTCCACGGTGAACGTCGCATTTATGTTCACGGGAATGGATCAGACAGATGAACGGAAGGACCTGTTGGAGTGTATATATGCCAGTATCAGCAATCTCTTGCAACTTATTCCTATTTAATTATTATGTCTTTAAGCATGTTATACTATGCCAGTCAAAATCAGTTGTGATTTTATTGTTATATTATTGTACTTGGGCTACACATCTTCTATAGTAAGCCCATAATACTCCAGTAATATTATGACTGAAACATTATAGGTTTAAGGGGGTGCGTTTTTATATTTACCGATAGTATCAATACTTAAAGTGCTTACATGTGTTACTCGTAGCCTATAGTATCGCTCTATGATATATTACAGGATGCTTACAGCCTGCAATGCATGCAGAGCTGAGGCGTATGTGCTAACAATTCAGGTTTTAGGAGCAGTGTGCCAGTCAGGAGGCTTGTACATATAATGCAGCAGGATGAAGAGAAAAATACTGAATTTCAACACTGAATAAAAGATACCAGTAGATATTGGGTGTGAGGATCCTCTCACAAAAAATGTCAAGGTTTTTGACTTAAAACTATGCAACTGTTGACCATTTTGGACTGTTATTTTTACTATAGATAACGCCCAAAAACCTGTAATACAAAATTTGCTAAATCATTATTTACACACATTACAGCCTTCGTCTGAACAATTAATTCTTCTGGAAATGTTTGCAGTGTAAAATCATATATTTATCCACAAATTAAAAAGATGTTATGACGAACAGTTAACATATTATTTTAGAAAACGACATTAAATTACAACACCCTCGTTCTCATCCCTTTCGTAGTGCCGAGCCGTGAGTCGGCTCGTTCAGATGCTCTCCACACTGAACTGGCACGGATGAGGCAAAAATCAACAACAACAAAATTGTCTAAAAGATGCAGGACAAAAGGGAGTCTGTGTAGAGAATCCAGCATAATGCTTCTCACAAAGTGCCAAAACTGCGAGGGCTACTGTGGCACCCAAATGTGAATTTAGCAGATAAGTAAAAGCTTGAACACTATCTTGCACCAAAAAGATGCCATAGCGAGGGGAGGAGTGGCATGATATTGAAAGCATCTGTTATGTCTGCGCCAAGCCACGCTCCAAACCCTGCAGACTTAATCATCTGCACATCATCATCTACAGAAGCGTAGAACAGGGAGAAAGGCTTTTGAGGAACAAAGCAATTGTCAAACAGCTGTCCTTGTGATGAGCGGAGAGAATCTTTCCTGGTAGCGACACCTATGGGCTTACTCTGAAGTTGTTAAAAGGGTATTTTGACAATAGACATTTAATTTATATTAACCTCTTTTTTAAAAAAAAAGAAGCCTCCTGGGACACACAGAGCATAGGCGGCTGTCTCCAAACCAACTACACTCATGCATGAATTTAAAATTAGGATTTGTAACAAGCTCATTGAAAATAATGCCGATAAGAAACTGAAACCCTGAGGGAAAAATGTACTTGTCACCTTGGAGAGTGGTTTACATAATTTAACAATGGCTATTGTGGCAGGGGTTGCTGTTATTTTGACGTGCACAGACCTAGCAGAGCAGTTGTTAGACAGAGGGAGGTTGTGTGGGAAAAGGAACTGCAGATGGAGCAGACTATGGTTTTATGCCTGGTAGAATGTCTTCTGATTAGGGGCAGGTCAACTATAGAACAATCTATTCTCTGATTTCATTTTTTTTTTTATTTAGTTTTTGACAATCTGGAATCTCTATCTTTGAGAACTATGGAAGAATCCCCACAGCCCACAATAGACATCAATTCAAACATTTTTGTCATGGTTTTTAAATCGATTATTTCCTGTTTGCTAGTCACTTGATATCATACCTCTGACGGAGCAACTGGCCGACCATGGAGGAATGACGTTGCGCCTCTGGTAGAAAAGGATGTAGGCTCCTCTGGTACACACTTCCTCCTCTGGCACCAAGTCCACGCTGCTGTCGTCGTAGCTATACCACTGTCCGTCCACTGAGTTCCTACAGTAAGCTGGACAAGAAAACAGCAGCAGAATTTGTCAAATGCAATTATGAGAAAGTGCTCACATCAAGTGAAGCAAAACTTCACATCTGCTGCGTGGAGGAGCTAAAGTGGTTTTCATGGGATTTGTTGATGACAGCCTTATTCCTTCAATTTGTGCAACACATCTTAAATGAGAAAACTTAATCTGCTTTACATAAAAACAGTGCAAAGAAAGTGGTCCAAACTATAAATATATAATATATAAAAATAAAGAGGCTTCGATACATATCGCATAAAACCAATGCAGCTATGTTGTATGTATACCACCCACACAACTCAAAGGTGAGATTTCAGCCAAGCCATAAAAAACCCAGAGACAGGAGGCAACTGTCAAGCAAGCTGTTATGGAGGCGACTGCTTTATTTTCCTCATCTCCTGTTGTCTCCAATTCTCCTGCATATTAGCCTTCGTGCTGTGGGTGTTCACAAACCATCCCCGGCAATTACAGACCTGGCTTTGCCTCACCTGTGTGTCAAGATTCCTATAATGTCAGTGAGTTGAAGTCATCACATACGTACCAGCAAGTGTCTCCTAAGAGCTGAAGGAATGTAATACGAGACAAATGGGAATAACTCTGCCTCAGAATGTGGCAGGAAGAGGTTTTATTTTCATTCTATTCATTCAATCAGGAACTAATGAGGAATAAACTGCTGGTGAACCGCAAGGTATGTCAAGATACCAGAAATATAATATAGGTGATACCAATACCAGTGAAATTCCACAAATCTCAATATCTAATACAATACCGCGATAAAAAACTTGCACACTGTTTGATCATGATGATGTAATAATTAACCTTTGCCCAATGCTCATTTTTATATAAGAGAGCTTGAACCCATCATAATGTAACTCAGTGCAACCTCCGTTCCAGCAGTTTTTTGAAGCAAATTTTACATCGTGGCCAAACCATGGAATTACAATTTACGGGTCCGTCACGTGACGCCATTGGGCCCAAAAACATTATTTTTGCACAGATTTACATTATGGGAAGAGACATCTGTAACTCAGCGCATAAACTACTTTTTTTTTTTTTTAAAGGTAAATTAACTTCCCAGTACGAACACTTGAACTGTTTAATACACTGGGTCCTAAAAGTTGTAAAATGCAATATTAGCCGAATCCACAGTTCCCTCCTCCGTTTATGTGAATGAGCCAGAGAACGAGGCTGGACCGAGGGCTGGGAGGCGGGGTTAAAGGAATCGCTAGTGCGCAGGCCCAATGGGTGCGATGGATGCGTAGGATCGCCGGAAGATCCACATTTCCATCTGGATTTGATACTCGGAAGTCAAACTTCTTGTCCTTCATGCGCCACTGAGCAACTTCCATATAAAAGAACAGGGAAAGGAATGATGAGTTAATTGAGTGAGGAATGAATCAGGAACGACTTGATACTTAACGAATCATTAATAAGTACTTCCAAAATAACTCATAACGAAGGACTATATAGCAGAGAATGATAAGTTACTAGAGTATTACTACTAGAGTATTCTATATTGCTTTACTTGGGGGAACACAAAAAGAGTAATTCACGTTCCGTTTATGAGTGATTGATGAGTCGTTACTAGTTTTGTGCTGCTGAGCAGCTTCAGAGTTAATCAGGAACGACTCATAAAGGAAGTGGTCAGTATGATCGATTCGCAGATATCAACTAATCCTTATCTAATGATTCATTAGGTTGTCTAGTTACTCATCATTATCCACTACAGTCCTATATTAGGAGGTATTAGGGGAGTACTTATTAATGAGTTGATCAGTTATCAAGTTGTTCCTGATTTGTTCCTCACACTTTTCTCAAATAACTAATCGCTTATTAATCATTAGCAACTCTGATTACTCATTATCTAATGGTTCATTAGCATCAACTTCCTCATTCTACCCTCATTCCCTGGTAAATTCCTCATGTGCCATATTATCAAGTGGTCTCTTGTAGCTCTGTATGGCTGTTCCTTGAACTATGTACAAATGAAATGAAATGAAAAAGCCAGTGACGACAGTATTACGGTGAGCGGAGGGTATTACTCATTAGTGGTCCGAGCGTTGTCTGAAAATCCTCCACACACTGGCATTGACTTGTCAATTTAATAATTATGTGCAACTACTGCTGGGCTCAACCTTGTAGAAGAAGCCAGTGTGAAAAAGCCAGAGGAGTCATGCAACCGTCAGTGAGTGTGAACCTCTGTGTCTGTCCACAGCTAATCTGGATTTCTGCTGCAGCAAAACTGCTTGATATTTTGGGTGCTCATTTATGGCTGCAGGCTCAAGGAGCTCTCATGGTAGGGGTGATTCACACTTTCTTTTATTGCCTGTTTTATACTGATATTGATTGCCTGCTGAATCCTCACTCACTACTCTTACCCGGCCCCTGGCTGGAGCCAATGGAACTACATAAAAAGCTGATTGCAAGCAGGAAGTTACACTGCCCTCCTGAACTTAACATGAATAATGTATCATATTGCCCAATTCCATACCAGTATAATGTCCACCGTGCATTCCTCCATGGTGGTTAGACACAGCATAGAGGTCGTACAGATAGTCGTGGGGGAGGATCATGTCGGCAGGTTGGTGATGTTGGCCTGACGGCTGCTTCCAGGGCGGTGGCCAGCCCCCTAAGTTCAGGTTCCTCATGCTCTGACTCCTCTTCACCACATGGGGGGCCATGTCCAAACCAGTCAGGGGGAAGCGCACCACGGTCGACAGCTTGTTCCTCCGCTCGCCTACCTGTTTCAACATTTTTTTATTAATATACAGTACACATATGTGCAGGCATGAAAAATAACACATTTTCCTATGAGGAGTGGATCGAACAGAAATCAACTGATTGAGCAGCTTTGAAATTAATGTTGCAACAAATAAAAAACAGTTTTGAAATAATATCACATCCAAGACTAATCACAAGGGGAAGAAAACTGTCTCTAAAGAATGAAACCTTCAAGCATGTTCATGTACTTTTGGACCACACCCCTATCAGTGATGTTGCGGGAGGATAGCATTAAAAAAACATCAGCTTGTGAATTTCTGTATCACTCCAGGGTGGGATTGCAGGAAAAGTTGATGCCAAGAGAATTGCAGTATCGATTTTCCCGTCAAGTAATTTTTCACTATTGAAGCTTCTTTTCCCCTTCCAGGCATTGGCTGCTGATCATAATGAAAGCTTTTGCATACCCTCACAACCTTAGGAGGTGTTGTGCGGATTTGCTGGCTACTGGATAAGTCTCCTGTGCAGAGCTGGTCCTTGGCACAGAGTCCAACAGAGCGATTAACTGAATTCTAATGCAGTGGCGAGAAAAATCACATCGGTCAGAGGATGGAAATTACGGCGTGGAATGGGAGCTTTGCAAGGAAGTGCCTGATGGCCATGGCTGGAGTTTGACCTAGGGTGCCTGGCTGAAGCTCAGCGTGCAACATGGTGCCAGTTGCTTGTCAGAAGAGGCAGAGGAGTGCCAATCAAGCACCGGGCAAAGGTGAAAGTATAGCTCGGGCTTAACCGTGGCTGCGAAAATGGTTTTTTGATACGTGTCATTTCGAAGAGTCAGAAGTTGTGAGGGAGGGAGAGCAGGGCTCGTAGGAAGTGCCAGACGTGAAATAAAAATGCCCTGATTGGCCCTGGCGATCATGCAGGGACATACAGATATTTTGACGGGCACACACTCGCACAAATGGTACCCTTTAACAACATACATGGATCCAACACTGATCAGAAAGTACTGTATGTTTAAAATAATGAAGGGAATATTCTATTCTACGCATAATGTAGGCTACAACAAAATATGACAAATCATTGCTGTAAATTTGTGTCAATTAAATTGGGGGACTCAAATGAGGCCAATTAAAAAGGTGATTCAAATGAGAGCATCAGAGGCCAAGATATCAATAAACAATGTGTATAAGGGTGGCACAGTGACAACGGCACATTGTGACAGCAGTAGGTTTATATATTTGGGTTTGGACAAATGAAATTGGACATATCCATGTCTGCTGTCCTGATGATCCCCTATTCTTACTTCCGCTTCAAAGCACAAGTGCAATTACTTTGCTTAAACACAAATTTAAGATCTCAAAAGCTGTTATTAGGTTTTAATCATTTTTCATTTCAAGAAAGTAACTTTAGATTCCCAATACGTGATAATTTTATCCAAATGACCTACGCATGTCCAACTGCTCAACACTTTCTCGTTCGCCAAGTGGACTTTGGAGGCGGGGATGGAATAGACGTTGGCTTTGATTGTGTCACTTTCAACACTCACAGTCTGATCAATGTTTCTGTTGTCATATACACAGGGGTGGACGCGGAGCAAGGATCGGCATTTCATCTGTACGTTCGTATCTCGTGCACGCGCCTGGTTATTATGCACGGGTTTTTGACAATAATTAAATTCCATACCTTTACAACATTTCCTGAAGCAAAATGCGAATAAGACAGAGGTATTGATCATAAGTCAAGATAGCGCAATCACCAAAATATCAAAAAGTCTTGGCTCTCTGTCCCATTCAACAACTCAGCACTGCAGAAAGTCATTTTCGATCAAAACCTCATTTTAGACAAACATGTTATATCAATTGTTTAATCCTGCTTTTCAATCCTACATTTCAAGGATTAGACCATTTCTCCCAAAAATCATAGTCTCTCTCTCTCTCTCTCTCTCTCTCTCTCTCTCTCTCTCTCTAAAATCAGCAAAAATCTCACATCTCCAGCTCATTCAATTCATCAAAAACATTTCATCAATCTTGGCTTTCCGGCTAAGATATCATTGATCACGTACAAAGCCCTAAGTGGCCTCACCTCAAATGATCTTTCAGATCTCTTCATGCCCTGTGTCCCTTACGGCACCCTGAGATCCCCAGATGCCACTGTGGAATGACCTGCCTGTTGTTATGGGTTTAGTACTTGGCTTTTAGTTCATGTCCTTCTCTTTGTGTTTTAAATGTGTTCTGTTTTTATTGGAAAACACATTGTAACGGTGTTTGGAAAGGTGCTATATAAATAAAGTGTATCATTATTATTACTAATATATAGCAGATGCCACATGCATCTGGAGCATTAACTGGTTGGGGTTGGCAGAGGTAGAGCAGACACGCGCGTACTCTATATACTGTGTATATATATATATATATATATATATACACACACACTGTATATGTATGTGTGTGGTCCATGGAAGTTCAACCAGTTAACACACGGAGAAGTAAAAGTGTGTCAGCACTTACAATTATAGGGTTAACCTATTATCATTACCCAGTGTTTAACAAGTATGAGTACCAAGATATGTGATGGTATTGTGATGAAGACACAATTAACTCTAACTCTACTCAAATACCATCTTGAAGCACACGGACCATAAATACAAAGACAAATATGGCCTCAACGAGGTACACTGTTCTAATTAATTGAGAACCAATTAGGGATTAAATGGTCTCTCACACACACACACCTCACACATTTTCAAACATCATTCAGACAAAAGAAAGAAATGTGCAACGAGAAGAGCAGACTTCCTTTAATCAGTCCCTCGAGCATGTGTTGTCCAACAGGACTCGTCACAAGGACGTCAACATCAACGTCAGCAGCACAAAAATAATTCCTGCGATGACAATATTTACTGATTTGGTTTAGAGAGGCACTTAAACCAAGTGTGCTTAAACTATGTGTGGCTGGCTGTTCCTGACGTCAGGCATGAGTGTGGATACTAACGAGTCCCCGGTGAAGGCTACCGTGTTGGAGCTTGACCCAGAGAATGAGAGGGTGTGTGACTGTGCATTTGCAGGTGGAGGGCTCTTACTATTGTCGGTGCTTATCAATGGCAGAGTGGTTTATAAGTAAAAACCTTTTACACAGCAGTCATGTTTAACTTGTCACAGTAGGAAAAGCACAGGTGTTGCTAATAACATCAACGATGGCTCTGCTCTCATCAAGTGTCCCAGTGAGTCACGGCAGTGAGCCAGCATGCACAACACCAGGACCGTGAGACTGAATCACACCTGTGCTTTCCTCACTATGACATGTCTAAAAGCCTAATTACTTCCAACACCTGCTTAGAATTAGTGTGGAATCGGCCCACAGCGTTGGAGACGGCTACACCTCGAGGGATTATGGTTGTACTGGGAGGCTTCAATCGTTGCTCACATTGGTACAGCCTACCTCGTCTGAGTCTCCGTCAGAAAACACGGAGCGGGGAGGGAAAAATCAAAGTCAAGGAAGGATCCTTCAACGGCTGAATTTCAAGGATGCTACCTCGTCGAATCCCGCCGAGGGACTGTTCCAATGACGAGGATCCTACCGATTCTACGGAGGACCTACTCCTTCTGAGGATTCTGCGCTCCTAAAACACCCACAATCCTACGCGTGCAATGCGTTTCCTGTCCTCTGATTCAGTCAGAAAGAGGGGTAACGTGCTAGTAATCTTACAGTTATTTCACCTCAGCAGTCTGGCAAAATCTGTTTCCCAACGAATTTGATGCCAGAAATTGCCAATCCAGCGGCTGAATCTGTGTTTTTCCAATGGAGTCTGAAGACCAAAACAGCGCTTTCTTTCACATCAGTGAATGAAGGGCTGATTTTCGACCGAAGCAGAGTTGGTGATTGTTGGAACAGTGGAAAGAGTTATTAGAGACGGTTTTGATGCGTTTAATTTTGTGTCTTTTAACGCAAGGCAAGTGTGAAAAGAAGCCATAAAAAATGAATTATTGTCCCATAGTTGATACTTTTGAATATCCAACTGGGACTGGAGATAGTCTGTCTGAGGGAATTCAAGTGCCCTCTCATAAGCAGTGATGCCGGGTATATATGTCGACACGGCGGGAGGAATAAAGAGTTTGTCGCTCTGTGAACACGAGCGCTTGTATCGGCTGCGTGCATAAGAGAGAAAAACCCTCACTATAAATTATCGGTACTGATAAAATAGGCTATCGAGCCGTTTTTAAGCCCAGGGTCCTGCGATATTTTTCTAGTATCTGTATACCGTGCAACACCAAAGAAACGGTGACTTGTCTGGTGGAAGCAGCACAGCTGGATGTATTGTATGTGTGTGGGAAGCTGCTGGTAATTACTGATTAGTACCATTGTGTTTTTCCCGTGCAGCAGGAGATCTCTCTCCCCAAAGACGAACACCAGCAGAATGTTTCACTCAGCATTTGTTGTGTACAGCTGCATTTAGAAAAAGCTCTAACTGACATGGTGGATATGTAGGATTGACCCCTATCTTATTTCCCCAGCTGACGCGTCTGCATGGGACATTCGGGGGGGGTGTCGGTTCCCATTTTAAAAAAAAGGAGGGCAGACCAGAGGGTATGTTTCGATGATTGAAATATACCATTTTGTTTCCAACCGTGCTGGCAAGAGGACCAGCTGTATTTTGCAGCCCAAATTTCCATCTACCCGGGCGACAGCCTGCCAGCTCAATACCCATGTTACTTTTCTGTCTTTAATGCATTTATCGCTCAGCACATATCTTACCCCTCACTTATAACTTCTCAAACTGTCAGAGACCGAATCCTCATTGACTGCAGAATATTTGATGCAATTACTAAGAGAGCCATTTTTCTTCAATACGAGCCATTGAATCGAGTCAGCCGTTGATCGTGTTTTCACCGGAGACCACTTTACGGCACACGTACCTGTCGGAAGCGCTTGAGGTGGAGGATGAGTATGTCAGGGAGAGTCCACAGGCTCATCTTCACCATGCCCTGCTGAAGCTGCTTACAGTGCGGACACTTCCAGGCGTCATCTGGGGCAAGCTGGAATCAGTCGAAGAACCAATTGCACGGTTAAAGAAATCAATTTCTTAACAGAAATGTAACATTTATTGATGTTTGTGGTTATTTCATCATGTAATTAGGGGTTCTTGCGTTATGGTTTTACAGGCTCTATAGTGCAGACTGAGGACTCAAGTGGGGATGTGACTCAGGTGAAATGCTTCTAGCCTATTACGTTCTCGTCACACTGCTCAGAGGTTGACTTCACTGAAAAGATTCTATCAAAATTAATAACCATCCCAGTCATGACTAAAGCCATCGGTTATAGCAAAATCCTGCCTCTAGCATTAGGCAGCTTAATGGACCCATTGTCCCCCTTTTAAAGCTCCATGCTCCCCTCGTCTTAAAATGTTGCTTCATGACATGAGATCAGCAAATTGAATTTCCTCGCCTCGCGTTGCTGCATCCTTTCACAAAACCTAATTGGTGCGTGGGCGTTGACGGTCCTTTCCGTCAGCAGCAAAGTGCTGATTTGGTGCGCTGCGAGTTTCAGTGGGCAGCGGAGTCGCTTCCTGCAACTCTGCTGCCATAAATCACTGAAATGAATAGGCTACTTGCTCCGACAAGGGAAGAGATAGACAAATACAGATGTGATTGCTATGCGATTACGCGTGTGAAACATAGGGAAAGAAAAAGACAGACAGTACGAAGGTACGACCCAATTCCCTTGATTGTCCCCTTGTTTGCTCTCACTTGAGTCTCACTCATAGGTCCTCACACTTAGAGGAGAGACTCAAGGAAAGAGGGTAATCAGGGCTCTCTTTCAGTTAACGTCAACAGTAACTGATGATGCGGCTTCTTGTTGCCTTTTTCACACGACGAGCGACACAACCAACAAAACGGCCACGCGTGGCCAGCTACGTTATTAAAGTGTGGCTCAAGCGCCCGTTGACGTCATTAAATAGCACCGGGAACTGGCTAACGGCATTTTTTTTTTTTTTTTGTTTTTTAAGATGGAACAGAAAAGCATGAAACAAAATCCTATGATTGGTTGACACTTCACCGGCTCATTGAAACATTAGAAAAAGTTGAGACCGGCTCAACTTTGATTTGTAGCGCTACACACACGTCATGCAGCGACAAGTGGCGTCTCGGGAGGGTAAAATGTAATCAGCTTTTCTTGGAATCGGGTCGTGATGACATCATATATTGAGATATTGTGAGACAGAATTTCGTAAAACATACTAACTTAACTTTCTTTGTAAACATGATGTAAATACTTTTTTACAAGTGGGGTTTTGTTTTTACATCACACTTTACCACTCAGTTCAATGCGATTATCATATGTGCACATTTTTGTCTTTATAATTTGATGCTTATTTTGCACTAAAGTTCTTCAAAAAAATTGAAAATATTCAGTACTTTTCATTTCATTCATTTTCCCTTTTTCTTCTTTTTACTCGAAACACGCTATATATGATGAAATATATCGTTCTCAATATATGAAGTGACGTATATCGTGATAAAAGATTTAGGGCCATATTGCACAGCCCTGCAACACAAAACCAAGACAAATTCCTTCTGCAAGAAAACCTACTTGAAAATAAATAAGAACTCTATTATCTGCAATGTTCCGTACTTTGCAGCTCTGCAGGGATTTCTGTCCATTTGTTCCCAAATTTCTGTTCTTTATCCTCCTCGCTGTGGCTTGATAGAATAATTCACTGCCGGTATAGGTATGCAGGAGTTAAGGCTTGAGAAAAGCACACAGCTCACAGACGGTGTACAGATACCGAAAAGGGCACCATCGCTAAGAACAAGAAGTGGACGTGCTACTAATAACTATGACTAACAAGATTTAAGTCACCACTTGCTTGGAGGTCGTAATAGGAGCAATGTGATGACGTATATTTGAATATGAAAGTTTTTTTAATCAGGATATCGTTGCTTTTATTTGAGAAGACTTCTACACACATTTAATACTGCACTCCTGCATTGTCAGATTCCAAAAAGTCTTTTTTATTTCACACAATTATTTTCTTGTTAAAACCTTGTGCATACATGACAAACAATGAAATGCGTCTGCCAACTTCAGGGGGGGATTTGGGTGCACAAATAGTGACTAATGTGGCCTCGAGCATTTCCGGTAATCTCGCTTCTTTTCGAACGCGACAACCATCTTTTCAATTTCAAACTTCTACTTTTCAGCCCCAAGTGACATTGACTCAGGTGACACCACTTAACGCAATTTATCAGATTCTACATAGCTCCCTCTGGAGCAACGAAAAAAGCTTTATGCGCATAATCAGAGGTACTGTCCTAGACCTGTAAACAGAGTTTAATGTGAAATATTGGTGGAAGTTTCCCTTTGAATGCAGCATTCATTTACAGCTTTACTGCTGCATTAATGGCTGATTTGTTTGTTTTGAATGAAGCGCCGCTGCGCCTTTATTTTACAACTTGTATAACAACAACCACCAAAAGACGATTCGTGATTTAAGAAGAGAGTGAATTTTGATTTGTTTTTTCGCAATTTAGAATTTCCTCAGATTCTGGCACACGAGGCCACTCCAAGACAGACAGGTGGCTGGATTCTACCATGTGTGAATAACAACTTTAGTTTTTTTCCTCGAGAGCTGTGCTGTCCTCAGTCTCACCTGTTCTTCTTTGGTATACAGCTGAAAGCACTCGTCCAGCGTACAGCTATGCTGCTGCAGGTGCTGCTGCTGCTGGCTCCTCACACTCTCCGCGTCCTTGACCACCTCCTCCTGGATGCTGCCGAAGAGACTGGAGCACACGCACAGTTTATCCTTCTCAGTCAGCTGCAGAGTTGAGTTTGGATCGGCGCGACGGTCCTGCGCTCTGCCTACGTGTTTTTTTTACATCTTATCACACTCCGTCAGAAGTTAACATGATTGTGCACACTGCTTACCATTCTTTAGTCTTGTTCTCCCACTCAATGACAACCTTCACGTGAGGAGGTCCCCCGGGGCCGCAGAACTTCAGAGCTCTACAGTACAGCAAGAGACAAACTTTAAATACAAATCTTATGAACATCTGCTGAGCTCCAGACAATTTGGAAATGAAAAAAAGTACAATGGAACACCACATAAACTAATTACCTTGTCGATGTTCCAGACCCCGTTGGGATTATGCATGATTCTGTATGTACGTTACTTTTATTTTTTGGTACGACTGTGTCCATGCATACGAGCCGCACCAGGATCTTCTCTGGTATCAGATGTGTGTTGTAATAAACCTATGTATTCAGGTCAAGCACAACTGGGGCTCATCGAGTGTTTCACTTCATCATTCATCGAAGTGAAGATTTACCCGAAAGTACACGTGTTCCGCCTCCGCCATTGTATAGTGGAAGTTGTCACAACTGTATCGTATTCACTACTTTGATCTCAGGAGGAAGGATAAAACAGCGTCGCTATTTAACAACCAAACAGCGCTGACAGAGGGCCAAGATAGATTTAACATTCGCCGAACGCTGAGCCTCAGGGCTATTTTTTTGGTTTTCTTCCAGGAACATGACGAATCGCAGGTGGCAAATGTTTCGCCGTGTCAAAATTCAATTCCTTTTTTGATTTGATTTGATTTTTGCAAAGCATCTGTATTCTGGATGGAGATTTACAGCCTGGGCGAATATTGAATGATTCTCACTGTGAGTAGTTTCACTCCATCTTTGAAGTAGAACTCATGTTGTTTTCTTATTATTGCTTTCTGTGAACTTGTTTAATGCAAAAAAAAAAGTGTACTAAATGTCTAACGAAACATTCCAGAGAGGTAAAAGAACTCCACAACGCAACACGGAGCGCTGAAGTACCACCTCCTGTACCGACAACAGTGGATGCACTTGAGTTTTGCACGGGTGGTACAATAGCAACAAGCACACACACACACACACACACACACACACACACACACACACACTCACACACAAACACTCACACTCACACACACACAAACACACACACACACAAATACTCACACTC